AAATTTTCAGTTCTTCCAAGATGGTATGATAAGGGGCAAGGTGTTTACTCCTTTCCTGGCCTGTGACCACAAGTACTCCTTTCTGTCATGTAACTGTGAAAGGTCCACAGCCACTACAAGCTGCTCCATGCTAGCGCTCCTCTTCACCCCAGCAATGCCCCTAGAACTGTGACCCAGATCCAAACACGGGTAAAGCAAGAGATTCCTGCCTCAGCACTGGCAAAGAGATCCCTGCAATCCCTCTCTGATCAGCCACTGGATTCCCCCTCAGTCTGTGGGCCAGAAGCTCTGGAGGCAGCTGCCCCACCCCCAGGGCTATGCTGTTGGGGAACGGAGCTGAAACCCCACCTTCCTCTCTGAGCACCACAGAAAGGGACTTTTCCTGCTGACCTTCTAAGTCGTCTTTGGCAATTGCAGATTGAGCAGTCTGGAAACCACCACAACTTCCTGCAATTCAGTCCCCTGAGGCCTGCTCCAGGTTTGCTGGGGCCTGAACCCTCGCGCTGCGCTACAGTGCACACCCAGCATGGCCTGATACACCTTTCTGATCAATCATCCACAATGTCTTGGGCTGTAAATTTGTTTCACTGTCTTTTTGTTGGTTTTGGTGCTTCAGAATTTGTTTAGAGCCATTTTTTATGAGTATTTGGAGGAGTTTGGGGGAGAGCTTAAGCAAGTCACTGCTTTCACTCTGCCATCTTGGCTCTGCCCCTCCATTTTAGTCTCTTAAGCTAGCTGAGCATCCTTAAGGCACCTATGTCCCATGCCCATAAGAAAAGGTCAGGTGTCCTTAAAAAAATAAGACCAAGTAGCACTTGATTTAGGAAATGAGGAGGGTTCTCAGTCTGGACCTGTTCTACAACTTAATGTGACCAACCATATGCCCAAGGTACTTCCCTCTGCGGCTGTAGAGTGACAGGAATCCAGAGGCACCAGCTCCTTCTATGGTCAGGTAGGATCAAGAAGCTATCAGGAACCAGTGCCTCTCAATCATTCACTTCTACCCAGTTCTGTCACTGGGCTCCAGTCTCTATTCATTTCACTATCTATGTGGCTACCTCTAATAATAACTCACAATTATATACCACTTAACTAAGCAAGGTGGAAGTAGTAGTGGAGAAGGAGGAATAAGTAAACTTGAACATGTAATGACTTAAATACATTAAAATGGCAATAAAAAAGTTTCCAAGGAAAGTCTCAAAAGGACCAGGAACCCCTCTCATGTGGATTACATTATCCCACCTTCTATCTCAGGGTATTTCAGGAGAAGCAGGAGTCCATATCTCAGGGTGGTGCTGGTTGTCTCTGTTCCTGCAGCAAATAGATCACTTACAGTGCGGACCAAGTTTTCAATGGTAAATTCAGATTGTGGTTGTTGCTTTTCCTAGGAATAATTTGGTATGATTAATGGAAAAGTAAGAGAGGCAGCAGGGCAAAATGGAAAGCATAATGGATTTGGAAGCAGAGGACCTTGGTTTAAATCTCAGTTCCAAGATGTTGTTTTAATTTGGGGGGGGAGGACAACAGGATTAAATGAGTTGGCCAGGATCACACAGCTTGTCAAGTGTCTGTGGCCAGATTTGAACTCAGATGCTCTTAACTTCAGGGTCAGTACTCTGTTCACTGTACTGCCTAGTTGCCCCCAACACACCACCAGCTCTGATGTTGACCTTGGGCAAGTTATTTAACCATTTTATGTTTCAGTTTCCTCATCTGTAAATGAGGGAGTTGGATTCAATTACCTCCAAGATCCATTTCAGTTCTAAATCTATGACCCTATAAATAAATTAAATTCAAGCAACACAATCCAAAGTAGAACAAGAAGCTGCAATTATCAAAGCATTTTGGCCCTTGCAGATCTCACATATGGGAGAGAGACAGAGAGAAGAAAGATACGTGAGGGATGGGGGGATATATACAGACAGAGAGACAGACAGAAAGAGATTAGACCTGCAATTTTATTGGCACAGGTAACTTGCAGGTTAAAAAAATTCTGTCTGCCCATGCAAGTCTGCACTTTCTCTGAAAACCTTAAAATTTCAAGAGAGTTTCCTAGCCCTAAGGCACTATAGTGTTAAGTGATTTGCCCAGGATCACATAGATATTTTGTGTCACAGAGGGATCTTAAACTCAGTTTTGCCTGGCTCTGAGGGCAGCTCTTTATCTGCTGCATCAGGGGGGTCAAACTCTCAGCTCTCAGGCCTCAAGCCACCAACAAAACTGTGTGTGGCTGAAACCACATTAAAATGTAATTGGGAAATGTTTAGTAAAATAAATAAAGATACAATACAACATAGAGAATGTTAATTTCTGCATTTTCTAAGTTAATATGAGGCCTACCAGGATCCATTTCTATTCATGTTTGATACAACTGTCCTACATGATACTATCTTGCAAGATATCTGTACCTATAGTATATATCATTCACATCTGTGGGTATGCACAAGCAGCTAGGTGGTGCATGGGTTGAGTTTAAATCTGGCTAACTGCTGTGTGATCCTGGACAAGTCACTTAACCTTGTTACCTCAGTTTCCTCATCTGTAAAATGAGCTAGAAATGGAAAACCACTCCAGTATCTTTGCCAAGAAACCCAAATGGAGTCATGAAGCGTTGGACTCAACTGAAATGACTAAGCAACAAATGCCAAGCACTGCACACATGTAAGCTATTGTATTTTCTTCCGATTAAATTATGTTATTCTGTGAGTTCAGTGAGACGAACAGGATTTATAAGTTTAGCAAATAAGGAAGGAAAAAAAATTATCAACTTCCATATATATATATATATAAACAATTAATGCAAAAAGGATCCATATATTTTCCCATTTTATCCTCATCAAAATACTGTGATACAGTTAGTGCATTATTATTGTCATTTTACTAATGAGGAAATTGAGGTGGTAAATGCTTTGCCCTTGACAATGAGATGTTGATATTGAGGAAAAGTCACACTGAGAAGAAATTGAATATATAAAAATATCCAATGGACTAAAGATAAGAAAGGTAAAAACACAGGAAAAGCAGGCAGGTACTAGGGGGCATAATTCAAGTTCAAGTCAACTAAGGTCTATGCCCACTGTGGGTGGTGGTGGGGGGGAAGGATATGGAATTCTGAAGATTCTCACACATGAAACACAAGACTACTGTACATATTAGTTCTAAAAATCTCTTGCTCTGGTCTACATATTTGCCCTCTCCCACATTCCCTCATCTACCAATGGGGTAGGAATCTGTGGGAGAATATACCCTTATGTGCATAGGTTGATGAAGGAAGGATTTTCCTGGTCAGTTATGTTGACACATTGCTAAATTAAATGTTTTTGAATTAATGTGTTTTCTGGTTCATCTGGTAAGAAAACCATAAGTGATGACCTCAGAGCACACTTCATTGCTGTAAGTAGGTCATTGATCCATTTCAGCATTCCATCAGCCTATCTTTTACCTTCTCCCCTGTTTCTCTGGTACTTTCAGGGTTTCATTTACTCCATATGAATTACATTAGCATATTGCTTTATTCTAGTTTTGCTTCTAATTCGGTGGATTTTTTTTCTTTATGCAACTTTTCAATGATTTTTCTTTCTTTTTGTTTTGCTCTTTGTTGTTTGTGGAATGGTGGGAAAGTGAGGAGCCTCTAACTCCACTATCTTGACTGTAAAACCCACCAACCTCCCCCAAGTACTTACCACAGCAGCCCCTCCATTCCAATTAGGCTGCTCAGATTAAAGTTCCCTATTCCCCACTGTCTTTGTAGAGTCCTGAAATGTCCTGCCCAGTCCTCACTGCTAGCTCTGGGACCTCCTTCAAGACCCAGACTAAAACCTAACTCTTCCAGAAGGAAGTCTTATGTTAACCCACTCCAAATATTATATTTCTTGCTATTCCAAATTCCTTCATCACTTAAATCCTCAATTTTTAATCTATTTTGGCTTTCCTTACACATTCCTGATAATTATTCTTGTCCTTACATGGGCTTTCTCCTGTCTGTTGGGTTAGAAATTCCATCAGGGCTAGGACCCTGTCTTCTCATTCTTCTCATATAGTGCTCTGGCCATATTATGATTAAAATATGATTATTTACTGCTCTATGTTTGTGAATGTGAATGTCAGCCTCTAATACACAAGCCATTTCACCTACAGAACTGAGATTCAGACCTCCTGCTCACACTCTACCTGCTCCATTTTCATCAGGAAACAATCAATGAAGTCCCGAGGATTGCTGGGATCCAGTGTTCTTTGGTGTTCCTTCACTTCTTCCAAAATAAATTCAAGTATTGATTGCAATTTTTAACTGCTTTGTGATGAGATCCAGGGAGATAACGTACTAGAGATGGAAAAGAATTGTAGACCTAAAAAGAAGAATTTTATATCATAGTCTATTAGAAAAAGAAAATAATTTTCAACTCTAACACTTGGATCATGTTGAGAATACGGCTGAGTAAGGGTGGGACAAGTGCCCTTTGGAAAATAGTGACTTTTCTCATCATTTCCTACACAACCCTCTAAAAAATTAGCTTTCTGTTCCTTGGTTGCCTGAAACTACCTTGGCTTTCACTCTCAATTCTTACTTCCTACAGAAAAGTTCTCATCCTTTCTCATTTTGAGGTCTTCTAAGAGCTCAGCCTCCACCTTCCATTGGGACAGCTAACTCATCTGCTAACCTGATCCAAACTCGGGTGCACAAGGGAAAAGTCAGCTTGTCTCTAGTAATGTGAATTTTAACACTCAGTCCCTGTGACCAGTGGGTGAACTACTCCAGGGAAGGGCCTTATAATGTCTGTCAAATCAGACCACATAGGGTGCCCTTTTCTGTTTTTAGTCCTTGTCAATGAAGAAGAAAATAGGAACCCGTTCCAACATGGCACTATTGTACCTCCCAATGGAATGAATGATGAACTCTAGCCTAACTGCTTCTGGTAGTTTCTTTGAAGTAATTAAAAAACGATTCTGAGCTCCAAACAGAGAGAACACTGGTCTCACCTTCATCCATGGGAACTTGATCTTGATGTTTTCATTCAAAAGCTTCATTAAATATAGAAATTTCTGGTCTTTATATTCAAAACATTTCTGGAAAATGATAGAGCAGATTACATTGCAAGGAGCAAACTCAAGGATGAATGTGGGGTCACATGGTAATCCTAAAGGAGAAAGAGAGAAAGAAAGACTTTAATACTATTATTGCAATCAAAAGGTAGATTTACCTGCCTTTAGGTAGGACCTGACTGTCCTCCTTTCCCTTCTAGTTTACATTCTAGCTTGGCACAGCAAGGTTCAAAATAAACCACCCTTTATGAAGCATCTGATTTCATCCACATGAGAATCCTAAGTGCAAATAGGATAATTCCCATTTTATAGGTGAGGTTGCTGAGGCTCAAGAAAATCAGCTGATTTATGTGCCACAACTAGGAAGGATCAAGAAGTGGAATGCCACCCAAACTCTCTCCTGGCCCCAGTTACAGTGTTCTTCCTACCATACATCACCAATTCCCATTTCTAAAACCATATTCATCACCTCACCCTAACCAACTTTTACTTTCAGACTTCTTCATGTCTATTTTTAAATTATATTTCATTTCATTTCAATCACTTATCCCAGAATGAGGGTTGCAGGCACTGGTCTGGAAGCCTTGCTATTCCAAATGCTCTTAGGTTCAGGGTTCTGGGTTGTCAAAGGATTGATAATGTCAAGGTGGTGATTCTAGGTTTCCTTGACTGGCCTCTGTTCTCCCTTAGGGTGCCTCACTGTTTTAGCAAGGCTGGCCCATCTGCCTTATGAATAGCAATTGGCTGGCAGCTGGTGGCAATGGCCAGTCCCTTTTCCACAGGAGTTGCTTCCTCAGATGAGAGCTATCAGGGCTGCACCAGGACCAGTGGTCTAGAGCTTGCTGCCACCCCTGTGGCCCTCATGCATATGTACCTATTGGTGGCAGCTGGTCATCAGTTGTTGCTAGTGGTAAAGAGAAATATGGGCCCCTTCTCCACAAGGTAGCTCCTGTGGACACTGGTTTTGCTGTTTCCCAGTCTCTTGGGTTTGGAGGTCCTGAGCTGCCTCCATCAGGGTGAGAGGGGAGATTGTGGTTGAGGTGGTGGCTATACTAAAGAGGCCCAAGGACAGAGTCTTGGAGATATTCACACTCAGGGGACTGAAGGTGGATAGTGATCCAGCAAAAGAATATTGAGAAGCAAAAATCAGGCCCAAAGAAGAACCAGTGGAGAACAGCATGATAGAGGTGAGGGAGAAGAGAGTATCAAGCAGCCAATCCCAGCAGTCACTTAGCTCTTACTAGGTTCTGTGCTAAACATCAGGGGTATACAGACAATACTAAAACAGCCCCTGCCCTTAGAGAGCTTACATTATAATGGGGGAGAAAACACCTACAGTGGTGAGTGGCAAAAGTCCCAGGTTCCACAGTAGTGGGGAAATGCTGTTCTCAGTTTATTCCTATATTATTGCTGGTGAAATTTTCTGGAGTAGGAGAGCACATACAGGTAATTTTGAGCAACTGACAGTATCCTTCTACTGCCCAGTTCCTACCACCCAACACACACACACACACACACACACACACACACACACACACACACACACAGAGTACACATAGTTTGCCTTTTATGGTGTAAAAAGTAGTTATTCCATAGAATTTATGCATCAGCATCTCGTGTCCTGTGGCCCCCTAAGTTTCAGATTTTATAGAAGAATGACAACACTTCTGTGAGATAGCTTAGATGTGGGGGGTGGTGTGTGAAGAGGAGGAAGCATGAAGGGAAACAAGCTTCCAAGAAATGCTGCTGAGTCAGCTCATTGACTTCCTAGCAATGTTCTCAGCCCTGCTTCCACTCCTTCGCTTAGTCAGAAAATCTGGACTCCCCAAAATGATCCTAAAGCAATGCCTTCTGCCCCTGGAGTCATTGACTAAAGGTAATGGAACTGGTGCTGCTAGGGTCTTGTGAGCTCTGTTCCATCTGAAAAGGAATAAAAAGAAGTAAGGTATTCCCTTAAATGTTCCTCACCATTCTGCCTCCTCACAAGAATAGCATGAACTCATTAGCAGAGCTGCACTGCCTCTCATCTCTTCTCTCAGCTGTCTTGACTCTTCAGGGCTTCTAGGAATGATCACATGGCCATGGGCATATCCCCAGGATGGGCCAAAAAGTACAAACATGGTAGTTTCAGACTACAGTAAATTCCTTGGACCAACCTCAGTCTTCATGAGTTATAAGGGATAGGACAGATTTTTGTAAGGTCAGTGGTAACAAAGTAAAAAACACCAACCTTTTGTTTTTTTTAACTCCTCCATAAGATTCTTTGCCACTTCTTGGACTCGCTCTTCGATGCTCCTCTTCCCCATCCCAAATTCCTCAGGGTCATGAGGGAGAAGCGGCGGATTTGCTTCCATGTCTCTCCATTGCTTGCGATAATGCCTAGAAAGGGAAGCAGGAAGAAGAGAGACCTTAGACTCTAAAGTCCGTGGCAAAAAGTCCTTGGGCCCTTGACTCAAAACCCTTGTTCTAGGAGAACAGAATGTTATGGGGTATCATTTTACTTTCTCCTCTATCTGTACTGTTTCCTGTCTCATTCTCTCTTCATCACAGTCACAAACACATCAGGTGGCCCTACACCCACATCCTGCTCCTGGTAATGAAGTGGCCACAAAGAGGGAGGCCAGGATAAAGACATAATTTGAGAAACTGAATGGTGAGAGGGCAAGTTAGTTGATATCTCTCCATCTTTTTACACAAGGAACCTAAAGGATTATGAAGTCCTGAAGTCCTAGTCTTCCCACTTCACATAGACACCAAAGAGTGAGTGAGAGTTTCTCTGTGTTGTTTTTTTGTGGGTTACTAGGTGGTGCAGTGGAAAGAGTACCAGACATGGAGTCAGGAAAACTCATCTTCATGAATTCAAATCCAGCCTCAGACAGTTACTATTTGTGTGTCACTGGGCAAATAACTTAACCCTGTTTGTCTCCATTCCTCATCTGTAAAATGGCCTGGAGAAGAAAACAGAAAACCATTCCAGTATCTTTGCCAAGAAAACCCCACACTGAATCAAGGAGAGTTGGACACGATTGAAATGACGGAACAATTAGAGGTACAATTAATAAGAATAGAAAGTTATGAAAGCTCAGTAGAAATCCCAAATCATGTGGCTTTCCTTAGCTTTCTTTTTTCCCCCTATGTCTGAAACAATCCTACACAGGATTGCTGTTTACAAGGAAGTGATTTTTGAGTGAAAACAAAATACAGCCATTACACAAAGATTTGTAGTTAATTTGAGCAATGGAAAAAGTGTTCACATGCCTTTATGGTACACACATGGATACACACATACTAAAGCTTAACATGGCATATCCTTCTTTCTCTGAATATATCACACCTTCCTACCTTCAGATATCACCCTCTGATTGCAGACATGGAGGAAGACTTCACCTAACTAAACTCATATCGAGAACTATCCTTTTGCCTGTAATCTTGTTTCCATGGGACCTTTATCAAAATCACATTCATTACCCTGTTCTTCAAGATCCTTCATAAGGGAACATTTGGCCTGCAGTCAAAAGACCTGAGTTCAAATCTAGCCTTAGATACTTACAAGCTAAACTAATCGTTAAACTTCTTTTCACCAGTTTCATTATCTGTAAAATGAAGAGTAATAATAGCACCCCCTACTGGAGTGGTTGTAAAGAACAAATGAAATACTACTTAAAAAGCACTTAAAACAATGCCTGGCACATAGTAGGTACTGTATTTGTTCACTCTTGTTGTAGTTGTTGTTGTTAATTCATTCATGCGTTTCCCACCTTGATTAACTCATATGTCCCTACTACAAGTGTTCTACATAGCGGAGAATGTGTTTGCCTTCTAGTCAGTTTATCAGGAGTCATAATGAAAAAGATTCTCAGAGACTTTTGCCAGGAAGTAGCTGATGGAATGCCACGAGAGAGGTATTTTTGTCCCAATTTGAGCTCTAGTAAGCTAAGCAAGGTGACCCATTCCAGAAGTAGCCAGATTATGATAACTTTTAAGACTATTTCAAAAGGTGTAGATACTTTTCCTTCCTGTGGATGCTGATCCACATTGGCTATACAAGACCTTGTTTGGTCTTCAAAGGCTCAATATTTTGGATGATCATTATCCTTGCAGAATGAAGTGCTTTTGATTTGCCTGTTACCTGTGGCATGTAGCAAATCGCTGACCACCAGCTTCATTTTGCCAATTTTGTGCAAAATTTCCTAACATTGTATCTCTATTGGCTGCCACTCACCCTGTTCTGCTATGCCCAACAAGACATCTATGTCAAGACAAAAGTCTCAATATCCTACACAGTGTGTGGTCTTGTCTCAGTTATTAACTTTTTCGGCACTCTTTAAAGAGGTTGATTAGTGAACACTTAGAAAGGGTGGTCACTAAGAGCCAGCATGGGTTCATCAAGACTAGGTCTTGCTAGCTTAATCTTATTTCTTTTTTTTAACAGTATTATTAGACTACTAGATCTAGGCAATGCCATGACAGACTAGACTCAGATTTCGGTAAGACATCTGACAATGCTTCTTATGACATATTCATAGAAAAGATGGAGAAGACACTGGTCAGATTGCCAGAAGACATGCTCCTAGGAATCCCAGGCTATGTAAAGTTGTTGTCATTGTCCACCAGGCAGCTGAGCACTGGATCCCTGAACATCAAGGAGAAAATTACAAACAACTTGAAAATGAACTGGAGTAATGGATCTTGGAAGGTGAAAGTCACAGCTGAGGGGAAAATGATTACAGGAAACAGTAAAGGCTGGAAAGATGGGAGAAGGAGATCTAGCTTTTCCCTCCAGGACTCTTCCACTACAAAACCATTCTCTTTCTTTCTTTTTCCTTTCTTTGATTCCTTTCTTCCATTATTTCTGTCATTCTGCTTTTCTTCCTTCCTTTCTTTCTCTCTCTCTCTCTCTCTTCCTTGTTTTCATTCTCCATTGTCTTTCTCTCTCTCTTCCTTTTTTTCTTTCTTTCCTTTCTGCTCTTCTTTCTCTGTCTCTGTCTCTCCCTGTGGGTCTCTGTCTCTATCTTTCTGTCTTTTTATTTTTCACTTCATCTCTTTCTTGCTACTTTAACTTGTGATAACATACAACATGAAGCAATGCAGCTGCTGCCATGGACAAAACTATTGGATTCCGTATCTCTCACTACATCCTTCCAAAAATGCCACAGCTTTGGGGCTTTGGTTTAAAAGTGGGTCTATTTCCACTAATTTCTAAGAATACTATTCTTTTTTTTCTTTTCTTGTTTTACTCTACTCCTCTATACCAAGCAGAAACTTACCTACTCCATCGGTAACCAACTTAGAAAGTGGCACAGGTGCTCTATCAGCAAACTTGTCACCATGATCAATCAGAGCTTCTTTCACTGCCTTGTACCCATATAACACGACTACATGCTCAACACCCAATTGCAGAGTGAACACTGGGCCATATTGTTTTCCTAGCTGTGAAAAGAGATGTGGGCAGTAAGGAGAGGGTCATCACTGAATCAGGTGATAAACAGCTGCCATTACAGTTGTTGACCTTATTGGAGAAGTTCTCAATCCACTATCACCTCCTTCAAAATATTTCTGACATTTATTACAGGGCAGATAATACAACCCATGAACCCAACCGAGCCATAGATGGCTCAAAAGGCTAAAAGTTCACCCTGTGCCTTGGGCTAGAAGCCAGAAGACTGGCTAATGAAGTACAGTATGACCTTGGTGCAATATCCCCAACCTTTTGAAGAGGTTGAACTTATATTTCATAGCTAGGTGCCATATTGGGTACAGCACTGAACCTGGAATAAAGAAGGCTCTATGCAAAATCCAGTTTCAGATACCTAATAGCTATGTGACTTCAGGCAAATCATTTAACCTCTGTCTGCCTCAGTCTCCTCATCTGTAAAATTAGGATAATAATGATACCTAATTCTAAGGATTCCTTTGAGAATAATAAAACAATATTTATAAAACAATTGGCAAACCTGAAATCACTATATAAGTGTTATTATTATTATTATTATTATTATTATTATTATTATTCATTTAAAGCTTTGAGAATAGCATATTTGCAAATGGGTACATTGCTGTCAGTGAAATCCTGGAGCCAAAAAGGGTACACATTCCAGTAGAAATCCTACAAACCTGGATCATAGGTATACGTCCAGAATAGACTTTGGAGATCATTTAAATCCTTTTTTTGGTCGTGAACTCTTTTAATAGTGTGGTAAAGCCTATGTACTCCTCTGAATATTTTTAAATTGAAATACATAGGATTACAAAGAAAATCACTTATATTACAATAAAATAAAGATGTAATTTTTCCCATCCTAACTCACAGAACCTCTGAAATATATCTACAGACCCAATGAGATTTCATGATCCCAAGATTAAGAACTCCTCTTCTAAATCAATCATAATTTCACAGATGAGGACACTGAGGCCCCAAAGATCAGGATATATCTGGGAAGGATTTGGTAAAAAACATATTGGTTTATCGATCTACCAGGTAAAAATGAGAAGATAATTTTGTTTTCACATATTAATCTCAATCTTTTCTCACAACTCTGTGAGGCAGATAGGATATTTTTTTTTTTATAAAATCCTCATACAGACACAGGAAACTAAGATCCAAAGAGGTTATCATGACTTTTCTGAGGCACAAAGCTAGTATTTCAGAATCTGGACTTGAAGTTCAAATTCAATGCCTTTTCTACTACCCCATGCTAACTTTCAAAGGCTTTGAGATCTACAGATCTTAATTCAGAACTCACTGGTTCTTCTCAAGGCCAGGGTTACTTTTAATCAGGCACACTTAAGATTATATGCAAGGACTGGGCCAGCACACAGAGACGCTTAAGGGCTCCTCTGAAGGAATGTGCAAGGAAAACATTCTCCACTCTGATCTGACAGAGGTTGGAGGTCCCCACCTGTTTGCAGGCCCTACTCGTCCCTCCGGCAACAGAAATAATCAGGCACATTAAATACCACCTTTCTTCCTATGGTAGGCAATGAGCAATTTAAGTGGGACTAAAGACATTTTCTCCTACAACTTCATGGTGCCAGTGTGACCAGTGATAGCAGAGGATGGCAATTGTTGCAGCACTGATTTCATCAATTTCTACAGGAACTTGATGGCACCCAGCTAGTGCTGAAGCATTGGGTCCTAATGGCCACTACAGTGAATCGAAATATAGTCTAGAAAACCTATGAGGTGTCTACCTCCCTACTCTAACATGCTCTACTCATTAGAACAAGCTGCTTGAAGACAGTCCGACAAAATAAACTGACTGCAGCTAGAGTCAGGAATGAAACCAACAGAAGACAGAGATACTTACTTACCTTGCAAAGAGATTGAGGGATATTCTTAAGGTCCACCTGGAGCATATTGCCAACAATGGGAAGAGGAATAGGACCAGGTGGAAGTTTTCCTCTTCCAAAGCCCTTTCTCCATGATAAAATGAGAAACAGACATGACATACAGAGCAGTAAGCCAAGAGCAATGGCCACAGATGGATCCATTGACACTCTTCCTTACTGCTAATGCAATAGGAGGCTTAGAATCCAAAGCTGGGAAGGACTGCAAACACAAGGTCAATCAGCTTATAATTGCTTGGCATCCTGATTAAGCTTCTGATGGACTTTGGCCTGCCACTAAGATTAACAGAACCCTCCTCTTGTTCTATAGTAGTGTATTTTAAAGTAACAGGAGCCGTTAAATTTGTTGTTTGAAGTGTGACTGATTCATTTTGCTCCTTATGTGCCACAGTTATTTCCCAATATGTCCCTGCCTCCCTTTGCAATCAATGCCTCTAAAAAACATTAACAAAACTAATGATACTAGGACTTTGACAGTATATGTCACATACCATAGCACATTGCCACTCTGCTGCTAAAGTGTTTCTTAATCTGTTCTAAGATAGAGGTCACTTTTATAACATTAAAAATCTCATTGACCCATTGTTGCTTGTCCTTCATTATTGAAGAGGACCATGACTTCAGGGAGGGGATGCAATGAGTTTTCCTTTAAATTATAAATAATATCTGTCTAAAACCATTAGCAAACATTATCTGTGATGGGTATAAATCAGAAACTTTTTCAGTAAGATCACGGGCAAAGCAAGGATGCTACTGTTATTCAATCTTATACTAGAAACGCCAGTTATAGCAATAAGAAAAAGATAAGAAATTGAAGGAATTAGAATAGACAATGTGGAAACAAAACTATCAGTCCTGGCAGGTAATATGATTATACACTTAGAGAATTCTAGAAAATCAACTAAAATTAATTAAAATAATAATTCAACAACTTTGTGAGATGTAAAATCATCAGCATTTATATATGTTACTAACAAGGTCCAACAAGAAGAGATAGAAAGAGAAGTTACATTTAAAATTACTGCTTATAGTAGAAAATACTTGGTATTCTGCCTGCCGAGATAAATCCAGGAACTATATGAACACTTTTCACACAAATAAAGTCAGATCTAAATAACTGCATAAATATTAATTGATTACAAGTAGGCTAAGCCAATATAATAAAATTGAAATTTATCCCTAAATTAATTTACTTATTCAGTGCCATAGAACCAAACTACCAAAAACTGTTTTATAGAGGTAGAAAATATAAACACAAAATTCATTTTGTAGAAAAGATCAAGAATATCAATAGAATCAATGAAAAAAATGTGAAAGAGTAGCCTAGCAGTGCTAGATCTCAACTGTATTACAAAGTAATGATCATCAGAATAATCTGGTATTGACTAAGAAATAGAGTGGTGGATCAGTGGAATATGTTAAGTACATAAAACATAGAAGTAAATGGCCATAGTATTCTAGTGTTAAACAAGTCCCAAGATCCAAGCCTTTGAGACAAGAAGTCACGATTTCACAAAAATTTCTGAGAAAACTGGAAAGCAGTTTGACAGAACATAGGTATAGAACAACATCTCACCATATACCAAGATAAAGTCAAAATGGTACATGATTTAGATGTAAAGGGTGATCTCATAAGCAAATTAAGAGAGCATGGAGTACTTTACCTGCTAAATTTATCATTAAGGGAAGAATTTATCACCACAAAAGAGTTAAAGAGCATTATTGGATGCAAAGTGGGCAATTTTATTGCATTATATTAAAAAGGTTTTGTGCACACACACATATACACACACACACACAAAGAAGAATGCAACCAAGCTTAGAAGGAAAGCAGGAACTGGGGGGGAGGGGAGGAATAAAAATTTCTCTGATAAAGGCCTCATTTCTCAAATATATGGAGAACTGTGGAAATATCTAAAGAATATGAGTCATTCCAATTGATAAATGGTTGAAGGATATAAACAGGCAGATTCCAGATGAAGAATCAAAAGCTATCTATATCATATAGAAAACATTCTGAATTACTATTGATTAGAGAAATACAAATTAAAACAACTCTGAGGTACCACCTATATCTATCAGATTGACTATTATGACAGAAAAGGAAAATGGCAAAGTCGGAGGGAATGTGGGAAAATTGGAATACTACTGCATGGTTGGTAACAGTGAACTCTTGTGAACTCATCCAACCATTCTGGAGAGCAATTTGGAACCATGCCCAAAAGGCTATAAAACTGTACATGCCCTGTAACTCAGAGATACCACTTCTAGGTCTGTATCTGAAAGGATTATACAAATGAGAAAAGGATTCATACGACAAAAATATTTATAGTGGCTCTTTTAGTGGTGTTAAAGAACTGGAAATTGAGCAAATGCTCATCAGTTGGAGAATGGTTGAACAAGTTGGGGGATATGATTATGATAGATTAGTACTGTGGTAGGAGAAATGATGAGCATGATATTTTTAGAAAAAACTTGAAAGATACATGTGAACTAATGCAAAAAGAGGTGAGCAGAACCAGAATAACTTTGTACACAGTAACAGTAATATTAAACAATGATCAACTGAGACTGACTTAGCAATTCTCAGCAATACAATGATCCAATACAATTCCAAAAGATTCATGATAAAAATACTTTCCACCTCCACAGAAAGAACTGATGGAGTCTAATTGAAGGTCAAAGCTTTGTTTTTTTTTTTTACTTTCTTTTTTCTTTTTCATTGTTAATTTTCCTTTGAGACTGTGTTTTCTTTTGTATCTTAGGTAACATAGCAATACGTTTTGCATGACTGCACACATATAATATACTTGCATACATATATACATACAAACATACAGAATCTGGAACTTAAAATTTTTAAAATGAGTGTTAAAATTGTTTCAGATGTATTTAAGGAAAAAAATTGAAAGACATAAAATGGGAGAAAAATAAATTCCGGTTATTTACTAGTGATTCTCAATTTAAAGAATCCAATAACAAAAGTTCCCAGAGAAGAATTTCCTCAATGGGTTCCTGCCGATGTAAGGGCCCAATATTTATCCCAGGCAAGGTTTCACATATAAGACCTTATAAACTGTGAGTGAGAGAGGGTGCTGAGGCTTTCCCTCACAGGGAGAGCACAGCAGCTCATCATCCTCAGTGCCACTAAAAGGGGGAAAGTGGCCTCCAAGGGAGTCTTTCATGTATTTTCTGAGTGCCACTCAAGCATCCATGTTCTCCAGGACTACAGCTTCAATGGCCAGTCCCTTGTTATGGAGGAAGAAAGGAGAAGGAAGAAGACAGGAAGCAAGGAAGAAGAAGAGAAGGAAGGAAGAGGAGGAAGGAAGGAAGGGGAAAAGGAAGGGGGAGAGGAGGAAGGAAAAATGAGGAAAGGAGAAGGGAAGAGGTATAAGAGGGAACTATGGGCAAAAGATTTTATTTCTCTAAGGGAAATATGAGGTGAGGCTATCAGCTGTGAGGTGTGCAAGAAGGGGGAGCTCTGAGAGACATGAGGGGGGCCAAAAAGGTTTGGAAAAACCATGATAGTAAGATAGTTAATTATGGAGGCATAGAGGGATTGCCCTGCCACAGTGATGGCCCAACTGAGATGATATAAAAAGTCTATAGCGGACCCAATAGGCACATTCTCATGATTTTCTCTAACTTCAGTCATTAGCCCAGGAGTAAGGGCAAAGGAAGTAAATAGTGAGAGTAATCTCACCCACAGTAGGACTTGGCAAGGTAAGACTAGAGAAAAAGAGGAGGAATTTTGAATTAAACATTAACAAACAATAATTGCAAAACAGAGAGCAATAAAATTTGTTCTTGCAATCCCTTGTACTTCAAAGAACCCAAGAAATGATTACCTTGAAGGCTCAGGGCAGGAGGTAGGGAAAGGTTATTGAGGCAAAGGGAATAAACATTTATATAGAGCTTACTAGGTACTAGACACTGTACCAAGTATTGTACAAATATCATGTCATTGGATTCTCAGAACTGCTTTGTGAGATGGGTGATGTTATCCTCATTTTACAGTTGGGGAAAGTGAGGTTAAGTGACTTGCCCTGAGTCACACAGCTAGCAAGTATCTCAGGTCTTCTCAACTCCAGGCCCAGCGTTCTCTCCACAGCACCACCGTAGTGGCTACCTATCCACTGGGATGATATGTCTTAAAAAGCTCTAATTTCTAAGGGGATTGTCAAATTTATGGTTTAGATCCTAATTGGGTCAGAACTCTAATAATATAACCTCAGGAGTCCTCTTGCTAGATCATTTGTATCTTGTGTTTGTTTTTCCTTTCTGTTTGTAAACATGATTGTGTAGGCTATGTCAGTCAATTAAAATTTATTAAGTATATACTATGTAAGAAACACTGCTAATTGCTGGGGATATAAAAGGAGGAAAAAGACAATCCCTGTCCTCAAGGAGCTTACAGTCTAATGGGAAGACAACAAACCATAGAATTTGCATGAGCAAACAAGCCATATACAGAATTAATAGAAGATAATCACAAGAGGGAAGGCACCAAATTAAAAGGGGTTAGGAAAAGCTTCCTGTAAAGGGGATCTTAGTTGGGACTTAAAGGAAGCCAATTGGTGGTGATGAGCAGGGAGAGCATTCCAAGTATGGAGAATAGCCAGGGAAAAGGCCCAGACACAAGAGATGGAGCACCTTTGTTTGTGGAACAGTCAAGAGACTAGGGTACCTATGTGAGAGGGCATGGTGAGAAATTAGGTGCAAGAAGACAGGAAAGAAAGGAGGGGATTAAGTTATGAAGGGCTTTGAATCCCAAACAGAGAATTGTGCATTTGATCCTAGAGAGGATAGGGAGACACTAAAGTTTATTGAGTTGGGGAGGTGACATAATCAGACCTGCACTTTAGGGAAATGACTTAGGTGGATGAATGGAAGGTAGATTGGAGCAGGGAGAGAATTGAGGCAGGTAGATCAGCTAGCAGGTTATTGCAATAGTCCATGAATGAAGTGGTGAAGGCCTGTACTAGAGTGGTGGCAGTGTCTGAGAAAGGGGCTCTTAAAGAGGCATTGTAAAGGTGAAATAGGCCTTGGAAAGAGATTGGATATGTGAGGTGAAAGATAGTGGGTATTCCAGGATGGCACGTAGGTAGAGAGCCTAGGAAAATGGTGTTGCCCTCTATGATAATAGGGAAGTTAGGAGGAGGCAGAGGGTTTAAGGGGAAAAGATAATGAGTTCAATTTTGGACAGGTTGAGTTTAAAACATCTGAAAGGCAACAGGAGATGG